TTTTGACGTGCAACAGCATCTGAGGAGGCGATGACGGACGACTGACTGTCTTTCCGTTTTCTGTCGCACAACGCCTACGATTAAATCACCTCTTACTTAAAGAATAAATTAATATCATCTAAAATTGTTCTTCATACTCTTCTCGATGCATTACAAAGTTGAAATAAATTCAGCTCTTTCATCCCCACCCAAAAAATGAGGATATCCAAAATAATGCTCAAGTTTAACATATCAACACTTATCATATATATTAAATTTTGTCGTGAAAGTTACGCATCATTTAACATACTCCGGCATATGAACGTATCCTGACGTTTATTTGGCGACTGCTTCTGAACCATTGTTCGTCATTAACATATAAGGCTGCAGCGAACCAAATGGTGCGAGACGCACTGCCAGTGCAAAATACTATGGAGCTATGGCATCATTAAATGACTCCTGAATAACCAAGAGTAAGTAAGCGGTAGAATACTACGCAAAATCTAGTCTTGGAGGAAATGGCATATTATGTGTCGCATCAGTATCCATTGTTAATCTCATTATGTTACGGATTCTACGCATATTATGCGTCTCATTTTACATATCAACTTGTATTTAGAAGCACAGATCGAGAAGACATGAAACAGGTGAAAAACACTGTATCAACTTGGAATAAATAAATACTATATTTTTGTGTACATCGTACACCGTCATGTACTTAATCACCATTTTTTATGGAGGAGGAGTTGGGAGGTTTTTGAGCTCAAGGCGCAATCACAATATTTTTATTCTTCATGCAACAAATTGACAGCGTTCGTGCTCCTTTAAGAAGAAACGTGTGGAGTGAAAACGCCTTAAAACGAGTCCAAAAAAAGCATTCACTAACAAACGGATCACAAAACAACATCTACCAAGCTATTTGGAAGAAACACGGCGACAATCGCTTCGTTACGGATTACCAGCTTCAAAATTGTCTCATGAATACGACATATCCTTCCACATATAATTTTAATACGCAACGCAATATAGAAACAAAATACGATGGACAGAACGCCAAACTTTCTTCGAACGGCGGAAAAGCAATAAAGCCGGTAGGGCACCGGGTGTCATAAGGAAAAAAGCTTCTAAGCACGCTACATGATGAATGACAACGGTGACAACATCTCTTGACAGAGCTGCTTATAGTAAAACGATAATTACGCTTCCTTCCCTGATAGTGGCAGCCTGAGAATTGAGTCAAGGTGAAATGTTCTTCGTCTCCACCTCGGTGAATCTCCACCTAGAAACTAATCTGGCAAATTGGATCGTACCAGAGGCAAATTTCGACGTTTCAGGTAGGAAATCTTTCTAGGTAACTGAGATAGGGAACCGTTTCACACTGTCAAGAATGTTTTAAATAGAAAAACGTATTAAATTTTTGTATGCTGCTAGCAGTGCCGAAAATAGACAACAAAAAATCATTTTTCAAAATGGCACAGCTTTCAAGATTCAATAGCGTAATCAGCCGCGGCCCACAAACATCTCCAAGACCAAGGGAAGGTCTGCGACATACGAAATGAAACTTATCCTACAATATTGTCAAACAAAAACTTTTTGTATTTTTTGAAAATGTCCTGTGGTTTTTGTCGGTCTCCTGATGAGACTCATCTGCCGCACGACGAGTCTAGATCCTTACTGGATATTCAGTCATCTCTTCTAACTTATGCCTCAATGAATGACATTCTCAACATTTTTTCTTAGTGACCTCGTAATTCCCGGAATAATTCCATATTCACTTTCAATGTCAAGGTCAAAGATTAGATACCTTTGTCATTGGCTGTCCCACAATAGCAGCCAATGAACACGTTTCAAACAGTTAAACCGCATGCATTTCTGAAATTTCTGCTGATTCAGTGTTTGCAG